TTTTTTTTTTCCTACGTTATATTTCGTGAATTTAAAATTTTTCATGTATAATATAATTAAACTTTTACATATTTTAAATAATTATTTTAAGTAATTATTCAAAACATATTTTATTTTTTATAAATGCATTTAATTTGAATGGTAAAATATATTTTTGCATTATTTGGTAATATTATAAAATTATTAAATAAAATAAATTTGTTTTCTTTATGCGTCACTGCTAATTGGCTGTAGATAATATATACGTACCGATACCGGTCCATATATATATATACAGACCGGGATCAGTTCGTATATGCCCCTGAACAACAGCTTTTTATTTTATTTTTTATTTCATTATTAAATCGTTCTACTCTCGTTTAAAACCGTAACATTCCGAATGTTTGCAAACCAAAGTGGTTAACCTATATAAAAATAATTAATTTTATTTGCTTATGGCTCCGAAAGAGCATTACATAACATTATCTCTAATAACCTTTAACTTATACGTTCGTGGTTTTGCAAAGATATTACTCCGTAGTATCGTAAGATAATTTCAGCTAGACAATCGATGGTTTTGTGGTTCCAAGGGACTGTAGGATCGATGCACATGCAATTGGTTTTCACAGGAATGGATTTAGAACACGAGAAGATGGTAATGTCCTTAAATGAAAAGAATAAAAATGTGCACTGGAAGAAGTTTATGGATTTTTTCTACTATATTCAGACCAAAATCGGTCTGAAAAATGAAAAGCATGGAAGCTTCTGGATTCTTTGCATATATTCAGACCAATACCGGTCCGAATATATTCATACTTAATTTAATTTAGCCTTAAGATAAAAAAATCCCTCGGATTGCCTATATTCGGACTAATACCGGTCCGTATATATATATACAGACCGGGATCGGTCCGTATATTCCAATGAACAACAGCTTTTAACTTTTTTTGTTATTTCATGCTTAAGTTGTTCTACTCTTGTTTTAAACCGTAACATTCCGAATGTTTGCAAGCCAAAGTGATTAATCTTAAGAAAAAAAAATGAATTTTATTTGCTTATTACTCCGAAAGAGCATTACGTAACATTATCTCTAATAACATTTAACTTATACGTTCGTGGTTTTGCAACGATATTACTCCGTAGTATCGTAAGATAATTTCAGCTAGACAATCAATGGTTTTGTGATTCCAAGGGATTGTAGGGTCGATGTACATGCAATTGGTTTTCACAGGAATGGATTTAGAACATGAGAAGATGGTAATGTCCTTAAATGAAAAGAATAAAAATGTGCACTGGAAGATTTTTTACGAATATATTCGGACCAAAATCGGTCCGTAATTAATTAATGCGCCAAATTTTTACTGTTAATTTGAATCTTATTGATTCTGCGCTAATTTATTTATATTCAGACCGATTTCGGTCTGAATATGATTAATGCGCCAAAAATTTTCCCGGAAAAATT